ATATATATATATATAAATGAAGCTACAGTTTGGTATTCCAACAAAACACACAATATATCAACATCTCTTGCTATGCTAAGAATTTTTAAAGCTCCCTGGAAAAGGTGCATTTTCTTCAAAACCATTATCAGAGACAACTTCATGCATATAGTTGTAAGAGACTAATTCCAAATGTTTGGGCAAATTGTAAAAATTCCATATCCAGGGAGAGGCTGGGCCAGCTCTCTGAAACATCCTGAGGAAATTTATGTTCTAATTTAGTTTGCCAAAGAAGTGATATTCCAGTAGCAAAAAGAAAATGTTCTATGTCATGATTAATGTTTAAACATGTATTTTCTCACATTCTTTTCAAGTGCCCATGTTGTTCTATTTTTAATAAAGAAAGAGTTATAAATACTATTATCTGTTCAGAGTTGAATTAACAGTAAATAGTAGAACCAGAATTGAAAATGAATCTATCTCAATCCCAAACATACATCTTAGAATGCCAAGAGTGCCATCTTCCTTTATTGTATAGAAGATGACTTTTATTCCCAATAGGAATATGTTATATTTTTCTCTTTCTTTGCCCTTCTAGGGAGTAGGCACTGAAGAAAATTGCCTCATTGATATATTAGCATCAAGAACAAATGGAGAAATTTTCCAGATACGAGAAGCCTACAGTTTGCGTAAGGAAATTTATACACTTTATATTTCCAAGTAACACATACCAAAATATTCCAGTGCATGTATTTTTAAAAATTTCTGTGATACGTACGTCTATATTTTAAATATGAATCACTAACAGCCAATGAACTTTTTAAATAAAACTGATTATTATACTACTAAACAGAAAACAGTTCCCTAGACAATAAAGTTTGCTAAATTTTCCAACAAAAATTATCAGCATCAAAAAGATGAATATTTTCATTATAACAGGTAACTGTCCAGTACTTAGGTTCAGGGGCATATTATCTATAACTCTGGAGAGATCAGACACATATACAGAATAAAACAAAGAAGAAAAATTGTTCAGTGATTTAAAAAAATATAGATAACCACTTTACATCAATTTCATGATCACTTCAGTCTTCCTAAAATCATGTTTTTAGACATTTTAAAAGTAGAATAGCTTTACTATTGCCATTTCAAAAAAATGCAATGCCTTAAGTTCCATTGCATTATTTATTGTGTAAAATTGAATGTCAAGAAAATGCTCCAGACAGCTCTATTGCATTTTGAGCAAAAACAAGATTTTTTTCAAGGGAGATGAAGTAAGAACCCTCTCTTATAATATTAAATTGAGACAGAAGTCTAGGGGAAAACTCTGGGCAGCAATCTATGGGAAATAAAATACATCATTCTGAATGTTGAGAATGAAAAAATATGAAATGATTCTTAATGTTGTATTTTAATTTGGGGGGAAAAAGATGATAATATTTTTTAAATTTATTGCTATGAGTAGGAACTGATTTGATGACATACCACCACCATCACCACCATGCCTATGCTAGTATTAGATGTCAGGCTTCATTTGCAGACTGTTTATTCCTATACTTTGGTAGAAGGTAGCAAAGGGCAAAAAAAAATGTCAGCATATTGAATGTATTTCCTGGGTTTTCCATCTATAGTTAAGGAAGTAAGTAGCATTAGCTTATTCAGAGGAGATTGATATATGTGATTCTGTAATAAAGTATACCTTTAAATGGACATTGTATTTCCCAGAATACAGCAGTGACCTTCAAGAGGATATTTACTCAGAGACCTCAGGACACTTCAGAGACACTCTTATGAACTTGGCTCAGGTATGACATTCCAATATTCAAGTAGCTTTACATATACAGTATATATATTTTTTAATGGACGTATGTCTTGTCGTCTTTCAAAAATTAGGAAAAAATTCTGGTTCATTAAAATTTTTAAATAACTGCTGTATAGTAACATTTACTGAACGCCAGTTGAAATCAAGGCATTGCACTAGAAGCTTAGGTTGTGAGCAGAAAGAAAGAAATTTGAATAAGGGATCAGTTCCGCTCTTAAAATATAAAATGAAATCTAATTAATATGATTATATTAATTATGGTGGTGATGGCTGTGTGCCGTGGAGTCTGTTCCGACTTATAGCGACCCTTTACAGGGTTTCCAAGACTGTAAATCTTTACGGGAGCAGAACGCCTCATCTTTCTCCTGCGGAATAGCTGGTAGTTTC